TGCCTCGCCCCCGCCTCCTCCCCCGTCAAACGGCAAAGCCCTCCCGGCTGACCTCCACACTGACCGTCTCACAAACAGGCCCAAGAACGGCGCCCTCAGCTCGGGCTGAACCGGCCCTCTCCGCCGCGGACGGCGTCAGAGGGCCCGAAAGAAAGAGACGGCGGCTGCAAGCGCCGTGCCCTCACCACACCCGGCGGCCATGTTCCTCCTTCTCCGCGAACTGACAGGTCACGTGGCCGCACGCCGGAGACAAGGGCACCGAGTGGCCACGCCCCCTGGGGGGCGGGGCGAGAGAGAGGCGGGGCCGAAGGGGGCGTGGGCTTCTAAAAATGTGTCTAATTTGACAAGCGCCCCAGGCAATATTTTTTTTTCCACTGTCAATGTTACTCTTCTTATTACAGTTAATTTATAATCCCTATTTACCCTATAATTAAGGTTATTCAGAGAAATAAACCACAATTACAACTTCAGAAGACATTGCACACATTCGTTACAAAAGAAGGCCAGCTCATAAGCCTTATTCCAGAATCCAGGAGTGAGTTCTCTCAGCCCTCTCTGGGGGCCTGTGGCTTTACTCTTCCGGTCTTCTAGAGTGCTCCACCGCCTCTCTCTCCCCTCCCTTCCCCTCCCCCATCCTCCTTCAGCCTCCCTCTGACTTCCTCACTCCTCTTCCATCCTCTTCTGGCCTCCCACCACCTCCTCCGTCCGTCCCACTCCAGCCCACTCCCCATCCTCCCCCACCTGCAGCCCCCCTCTGTCCTCTCCCACTCCTCTTCTGTTCACCCACGACTTAACCGTCCTCCCATAGCCTCCTCTGTCGTCCCCCCATCTCCCCTCCCTTCTTGGTAGTTCAGTTAACAACCTTCTCTCGGAAATGTTCCTTTTCCTGGTTTCTGTGACTCTGATTCTCCTATTTTCCCATTCTTCTAGCTGCTCCTTCTCAGATTCCACCTGCCTTGAATTTGTCGACATCCCAGAGTTCTGCCCAAAGTTGGACTCATTCCCCTTCCCACCTAATGTGCTTGTCCTCCTGTGTCACTGCTCCCTTCCCATCCAGGGAGACAGGGAGCTGGAGGTCTTCCACACACCTCCTGCATGCTGTCTGATCAGCCCGTCATCTGACTGCAGCTACTTTCATCCTCCCCTGATCTGTTTAAAGGTGTCAGAAGCTCCCAACCAGACAATTTCAATATCTCCCAATAGCCCCCAACAACTTTCCCTGCTTCTGCCTGTGGCCTGCTAACCATTTCTCCATGATCACGCCACTTCTTTCATCAAACCCTTCAGCAGTCTTCCATATCCATAGAATAAATTTCCAAATGATCTTTAATATGCAAGGCTCTCCTTGGGAGCTAACCCCTACCAGACCTCACCATGGCTCTGTCTACTATCCCTCTTGCCACCTCACCCCAAGTCTGGAAAATATTTATAGTTCCTGGAACTTTGGGCCAAGCTCCTTCTCTTCTCTATTCTTTTCCGAAGTGTTATTTCTCCAACTGGAAATTCTTCCTGGCCCCAGCCAACTGATTGCAATAAACAAATTCTATTTAAGATACAGCTGGCCAGGTGTGATAACTCACACCTGTAATCCCAGCACTCCCAAGGCAGAAGGATTGCTTGTACCCAGGAGTTGGAGACCATCCTGGACAACACAGCAAGACCCTGTCTCTACAAAAATTTTTTTTAAATCAGCCAGGCATGGTGGTGCACGCCTGTAGTCCCAGCTACAAGGGAGGCTCAGGTGGGAGAATCGCTTCAGCCTAGGAGTTGGAGGCTGCAGTGAGCCATGATCATGCCATGGCACTCCAGTTTGAGCAAGAGTGAGATTTCTGACTCAAAAAAAAAATACAGCTAAGGGGATCATCTCTTGTGAGCCTTTTGGTAGACCTCATGCAGAGTTAGTCACTCCATCCTCTGTACTTACCTTCTCACTCCACAGTGCCTTGGACATCATAATGACTCAGAAAGGCTGTGTTAAATAAAGCACTTTTAATCTGTTTGCCTGTGCTTCCCCCCCACTCTAAGGTTGACTCCGTCCTTGTATTCTACTGAACCTCCAGCCCCCCTCGCCTTGTTTAGAACAATGCTCAGCCTTAGCAAGTCATGAATGAAGAAACCACACCACTTACTACTTACTTTATTATATGCTTTGGAGTATTCTCTCCTTATTTCATGGAGGCAACACCAGCTTCTAACAAAGCCATATTCCTTGTTGTCTTTTTCCATGAGTTGCCAAGTTGATGTATTGGTGAACGCTTTTCAGTGGTTTCCAACCAATGCATATCACAATCATCCATAGACCTTTTTAAAAATCAATACTCACATATGTTGGGGGCAAAGCCTGTGGATGTGAACTTATCTCTCACCAGCTGACTCCAGTGAAATACCATTCTCAGACTTGGTTTGAGTCCCATTGTGTCCAAATCAGTGATTTCTCTCTTTCTTTTTTTTGAGTTGGAGTCTCACTCCATCGCCCAGCCTGGAGTGCAGTGGCACACTCATGGCCACTGCAGCCTCGACCTGCTGGGCTCCGGTGATCCTTCCACCTCAGTCTTCCAAGTAGCTGGAACTACGGGCGCATGCCACCATGCCTGGCTAATTTTTTGATTTATTGTAGAGACGAGGTCTCGCCATGTTACCCAGGCTGGTCTTGAACCCCTGGACTCAGGTAACCCTCTCACCTCTGCCTCCCAAAGTGCTGGGATTACAAGCTTGAGCCATCACGCCCAGCTCCAATTAGTAATTTCAAATATGAACATTCCCTTTTAAAGTCAAGCCCATTTTTGAGGAGCCACACAGGACAGTACATGTCCTTTTAGTAACCATTGTGAAAGCAACACAAGAATTGCAATGTGTGTTCTCACAGGGATCATAGCCCCAAAATGGTAACCTGTGCTCTAAACATAATGAACTGTCTGATAGTCAATAAAGCATTTGATTTGTGGTCACTGGGAAAATGTAGATTATATATCAGAGGTTGGGTCAAAAGTTATTTAAGGATCTCAGTGCAGCAAGTTAGTGAAATAATGACTCAGGGCCTTATGTGCCTTCCTTCATCAAACTCCATTTTGAAGAGAGCTGCCCTCATTTTAATCCCCACCCCACCTTTCTAGCCCACCTGACCCCCATGCCTCTAGCCTTTTTGCCCTCATAATTTCTGTTACTCCAGCAATATTTCTTGGTTAGTAACACTGCCTGTCCACAACACGCCCAGAAGACGGGCCCTAGGCAGGTCCAGGCTCATGCCAAGGCTGAGCTCTGCCACCAGGTGTGAGCTACCCTGGATATGGATGAACCAGCACAATCAAAACGCCTCTCTTCATGGAACTTAGAACACAACAGTAAGCAAGGTGGGAGGTGGGCGGGAGCAAGTGGTGGGTTCTCTAGTTTAGGTGATCCAAACACTGTTGAACAACACCGACACTGGGAGTTTCTCAATGAAGAGCTTTGCAAATTCCCATCTCAGAAGACATGAGACATTCAGTCCCAGATACTGATAAAGCAATGCCCATGCTGCCTGAACCTCCTCTTCTTCCTCCCACCAAATAGAAACCCCGAGGACCCTCACCATGCAAGTACTTCCTCGGGAATGTTTCTGAAACCAGTTCGAATAACAGCATGGAAGGAAGTTCGAAACAGGCTTTACTTTAACCACATTTTACTGGAGAAAGGGAGGAGGGCAGAGCCAAGTGAGGCAGGTGAGTGGCTGAGGAGAAGCTGCAGGCCTGAACCTGGGAGGGGAGAAACTTACAGTCATGACTTTTATTATCATCTTAGGCCAGGAATTTAAGTGGTAAGATAACATTTCATGATCTAAAAGTGACCAGAAAAATTATGGAAATTATGAGACTTACTCAAAATGTCATCCAGGCACAGGAAGAAGTAACATAATTAACATAGGACATTTGCAGAAGGAAAAAATGAAATTGCTTTATAATCCTACTGTACAGCATTTCCTGTCTTAGATGATGGTTACATTAGTAAATTATGTCTATTTTCATAATAGATAGTTCATGCCAAGTGTAGTTTTTCCCTTTCATACTTATGAGTGCTAACACTCACATCTTGCAAAGACATAATTATTACAAAATATAACAAAGACACTTTCTCCTCGGTTGCAAATATGTCTCTCTTTCTACATTTTTTGGTCTTTTCATGGTTCTTATAGCCTCAATCTTTCTAGGAATGCATTCTAAGAGATTTGCTCCAGTAGAATCACTCAAGTTTAAGAGTCTGACTTCTTGACTTGTCATGTGGTTTTTATGTAGAAGGAAAAATATGAGTTATCTTCCCATTCCTCACCACTCTCCCCATCAAAACTATAATTTAATCATCCTTTCATCTTTTTCAACAGTATCAGCTTATTGGGGTGATAATTTCAGCAGTCCAATTCGATTTCACCATATATTTTCTGTAAGTATCCCAAGATGCTTTGCATGCCATGCTGCTTTAAAAAAATATTCTTTTCTGTTTGTAAAAGGAATATGTGTTCATTACGACGAATTTGGAAAATACATAAAAATCTGAAGAAGAGATAGCTTCCCTAATTTCACCTGTCAGAGATCTCTGACTTCTTGCACAGAGATTTGAGCATAAACTTTACTGGCCAAGTTCATGATTTAAACATCCATTATTTAAAAGGGAAGGGGCAACATAGATGCTCTTGAGTTGTTATGTTTCACCTTGGTGAGTGATGTTTGCCAATATCACTTATCTTGATATCTTTGCCAGTCACTTCTCTGACCCCTTTAATCAGCACATTCCTTTTACATAAAAAACGGGCATGGTGGCTTACACCTGTAATGCTAGCACTTTGGGAGGTTGAGGAGAAAGGATTGCTTGAGCCCAGGAGTTCAAGACCAACCCAGGCAACCTGGTGAGACCTTGTCTCTACAAAAATAAAAATAAAAAAATCAGTCAGGTGTAGTGGCATGCTGTGACTCCAGCTACTCAGGAGTTGAAGTGAAAGGATTGCCTGAGCTCAAGAGGCTGAGGCTGTGATAAGCCATTATCATGCCACTGCACTCCGGCCTGAGTGACAGAATGAGACCTTGATTCAAAAAAAGAAAAGAAAAAACCACACATACATAGAAGTTTGCTTAGCTTAGCACCAGAAAGAAAGGAATACACAAGTGAACCGAGTAAAGAACAGATGTGAAACGTAACAGAAGAGGGTCAAATGTAAGATCCTGTGTTTGAGTGGGGAAA